GAAAACTTATTTCAGAATTCCGGCAGCTATTGCATGAGATAGTGAACCTACTCTAGTAGTATATATTGATGTTGTTACTTAACATACTAACTTGACCCTAAATATACTGTTGTATACCGCCAACAGAAATTAATTCCTACGGAAATTAAAAAGGTGAACTTTAAAAATCAATATATCAACCAGAAAGCAAACAGGGAAAGCTGGGGGCCCATTGGTGAGCCGGATCTCTCGCAGCTGTGTCAAGCAGCGGCAGAATACCGGCTAAGCACCTATCTGGGCCTTTTAACTAGTACCTAGGCTGTATGTATGGTAAGTTACAACTTCTTCTTCTTAGATCTTGGGTAGTCTGCGTTTCACGCACGTTAATTTTGATTCTTTGTGTCACTGAACGCCTATCTGTGGAGAAGAACTGTTTCTGTATGCACTTTAAAGACTGAAAAATACTGCTCTCTTACCATCTGGTATTCCCACTTAGTCTTTTCCTACGCCTAGTTTACCTCCACTTTCTCATTTTCTCTGTGACCTGTACTCGAATACCTTTTTATCAACTTAATTTAAGCTATGTCACAGATCAGACAGCTGACGGCCCCGTAGCATGTTCATACTTATGGCTCCCACCCGTCCTCCCACAGATTGCATGACTTAGATGGAAGAAAGTGGAAATTTAGGCACTTAATTCGCTCCTTTCTGTCCGTAGCCTTATGTGTTGGGCTTATCATAAGTTATGTATCTATAGTAAACATGAATCTCTCCTCATTTTAGGTCGATCTCAAGCTGTCACTCAGTGCTGGCGGTGTGATAATTGTACTGGCCTCCATATTTGCCTCGATTGGGCTTTGGAGCTATGCAGGCGTCCCCGCTACCCTTATAATAGTAGAAGTGATTCCCTTCTTGGTCTTGGCAGTCGGTGTTGACAATATCTTCATCATGGTGCAGGACCTTGCTATGCACCTCGACTACGCAGGCAATGATGCGCTCGATGACAGCCAATCCATCGACGGGGACCAAGAAAAGGATGGCGACTACCGGTCTGTGCGATCCACCAATGAAGATGCTTATAGATTGGATGTAGAGGAGCGTGTCGCGAATATGATGGGCAGGGTTGGGCCTTCAATTTTACTCTCAAGTTTTTCAGAAGCTGTGGCCTTCTTTTGTGGTAAGTCACGTGCGAGTTCGGGTAAAAATGAAAATATGAACCATATTACGCCTGAATAATGGGTCTGAGATAGCGGAACTGTTATTTGCCCCTTTATTTCCAAAACCCACTTGGGAATGCCTACCACCTGAGAGCGAAACAAGGAGATATTTGTTTAGAATTTACATTTGTTAGTGACAGGAAGGCACTGTCTAAGCAAACCTAGTATCGGAGTAAAATTATGACAATTTACATGGATTAAATATAAAAATTTGTAATAATGTAAGCAGAAATATTCCCTTCGGGGCAATAGTTATTGATGTTTTGAAATGAATTGTGAAACATGAAATAGTCGGTGAAAAAACGCCTACGCCAAAAATGGAGGCAGCAGTAAATGGGGCTCCATTTGCAAAAAGTGTCAAGGAGAAAAAACTGCGTTGGAAAGAAAGATAGAGGGATAGAGTAGGCTTCTACTACTACTACAATAGTAGTTCAGAATGCGATAATGAAAAGAAAATATAGTTCACCCGTAATTGCTTATGCGCATGAAATGAGGTCTTGTGAAAAGCCTCAATTGACATGAGCCCTCGACCTCTCAGGAGCCAAAAGGGAATTCTTATGATGGTTAGTAATCAAGGAAACGGAAGTAGTTAAGACTGGGTACGTCCGTATGATCTACATCGTTGGAATGAGTAGGTTTGATATCTCATGAAATGCTAACGAAAATCATGAAATGTGCTTAATTTTAATGAACGTACTTTTATTGATCACGCAAGCTTATCCAACAGATAGTCCAATTATTAAGTTGGTTTGGCAGATTTGCTTAATTTGAGTTGACCCAAGTG